CCTGGGAACGCCTCGGGATCCCCCAGAATGAGCTGGAACATGTTGCCGGTGAGAGGGAGGTCTGGGTCGGCCTGCTTGACCTGCTGCCACCGCGACCCGACCCCGGATAAGCGGTGGAAAATGGATGGATGGATGGATGGATGACAAACTGATAATCGTATCTGACATGAACTATAAAAACGAAATAAACTAGAAAATTAATGATTAGTCATTTTATTTGGTATTTATTTCATGTACAGATATGCAATGATGATGTGGTAATATGATTATGATGATGGATGATGTTGTCCAACGTAAATTAGATCTTTTGATGAGAAGATGATGTATAAATGATTCATATCTAGTAACTATTATGCACAAGGGCCCGTTGTAAACGTACACCCCGGGGCCCATCAAAACGACTGAACTCATGTGTTGGTGTCATTGGTGAGACTGGAACGGTACTTGGTTTTTGTGATGTTCATAGCAGTTTAGCCTGAAAGGAGCAGGTCAGTTGCTTCATGCTGTCACATCTCTCACATCTCTCACACAACTCTCTCACATCTCCCCTTAAATTCATTGTGCTCGGACTACTTTTATTTATGGTAAAGCTTGATATTGTAAGTGCCACATCTCTCTCACAATTCTCTCACGCTGTTGTTCTCTTTAGCATCGGTCCACGATGGAAAAAAAATCACTTTCATTGACTCAGTTGAGTCAAACTATTGTCATATTATATGGATTAGTTGCACCCAAGCTCTATAGATGCAACTGAAAAAACTAAAAAAAACAACTATCCATGAAGATTTATCATCATCACTCAGTCCAAACATATGGTCCACCATGTGGTTAGACCAGCGAAGCAGTGATGTGGTAATGTTTCTCCATGTGGCAGTGGACCTACACTATTAATGATAGTTGTGTCACAGGGAGTTGTGTAGCTTGAGCCCGCAAGGACCAGTTCCCCCCCATTTGTTATGGTGCTTCATGCCTAACTGTGTCTGTTTGGTGAGGATGGTTTAGGCTCACTCTGGTCCACACACAAGTCAAGGGCGGACTAACCACTGGATTGTGTGAATGTAGATATGTGGTTTTAGCTAAAAGTCTGTGCTGATCATGGGAACTGTCACAAAAGCCTCATGTTTTCATTTAGCAGCACATTAGCAGAACAGCAGCAGCCTCAGTCCTGTACACAGGATGTATTCAGGCCCAGTATTGAGCCTTTAAAACTGAAGAAAATAAACCGAAAGCATAAAAATATGGCTATAGCAGCAGTAAAGACAGCGTGACACTGTCACTGACGGCTAAAAAGCAAGGCTCGATGTCTCCTGTGTAGACACAGCGCTACAGTTTACACTTACTAATATAGCAAAGTAATATAAGCTCTATTCTCATAACTTTAATCTCTCCATGTGTCTTCATCTTTTATTCTTGCGTTTCTGCAGACTCTTGACTATGAGACGAAGAAGTCATACACATTTAAGGTTGAGGCGTCCAACACACAGCTGGACCGCCGTTTCCTCCACTTGGGGCCCTTCAAGGACTCGGCGACAGTCAAGGTGAATGTCCTGGACACGGACGAGCCTCCCGTCTTCACCAAGCCATCCTACTCCATGGACGTGTACGAGGACACTCCTCTAGGAACCATAATCGGCTCCGTGACGGCTCAAGACCTGGATGCTAGCAGCAGCGCTGTCAGGTAACGAGGACTGCATTAGTCAGTGGGAACATTGTTACCAGCACGCTGTGCCACATACAGCCACCGTCAACGGACACAAGGAAACCTAACTGTTTGTTGTTTCAGTGAGATGTATGATTCAGATTTAGTTTGAGCCTTTTGGTATTATTAGTCCTGAGCTAGCTGGACCAGCACTTCCCAATTTAAGCAAATCTAAAAACCTGGTTGCACCACACAAACAGTTCTTAATGGAGCAGTGTGTAGGATTCAGTGGCATCTAGTTTTGAAGTTGCAGATTGCATCCAATTGAATACCCCTCCGCTCCCCCTCCTTTAAGTGTCGTAGAACTTCGGGTAACACCAAGGTCTCTCTCTAGAGCCAATGTTCCGTTGGTCCGTTGTGGGCTGCTGTAGAAACATGGCGGTGCAACATGGTGGACTCCGTGAAGAGGACCTGCTCCTGATGCAGATATGAAGAGCTCATTCTAAACTAATGAAAACACAATGAAGCTTAGTTTCACTAATGAAAACGTAGTTTGCCAATAAATCCAACACACTTTAATAAGTGTTACTAGCTAAATATATATACCCTGTACCTCGCTAACTAAACCGTACAAAACGCCCAGAGTGAAGAGTAAAAGAGGTCGAATGAAAAAATGGTCGATGTATTCAACAGCTTTCTTTTCGAGTTTAATTAAAAATAATGAACAAAAATTATTTAATTTAATAATTTCCCCACGGAATTTTCCCCACGGAATGCTCATATTATGCATGAAGACAATTTTTCACATTGCCAATAAAAGTATCAATCAATCACATTGTGTGTGTATATACAATGTAAGCTATAGTGAACAACAACATGAGTTTAACAAAAGCAGTGTGCATCAAATCCACTTCTTTCATTCTTACCTTTCACAATAAAAGCCCTAGACATATACACTGTAACTGTTTACCTGAGGAAACTCATTCCGCTAAAAGGAAACTCAGTACAAGTCATTAGGATCCTGGTAGTTGGTCCTCCGTCTGTGTGAATCTATTCAAACCTTTAATTAAAAAAGCTTTGCAACTGTCACAAATTAGCATCTCTGCTGGTATGAATGGTTTTCAAGGGACATTTTCGCAGACAATTATTTAGCATTTTTGTGTCATTTATTTGTCACACCCCCGATGTGTGAAGGCCTTTAGTGTAAACTGCATGAATACTACTAACAGCATGTATGCATGTAAAAACACTGAGGAAGGTCTTTACACACAAACTAACTGATGGATTTATGAATAGCTGGAGGGCTTCATAGTGAAAGCAGCACGTCGGCAGCAGCAGCTTCGCTCCTCTGTGTCTACTCAGAATGTGTTCAGGGACTGTACTTCTGTGTAGGTCACCCGCGTTTTTTGGTGGTGCTGTGAGAGCAATATACATTCACTTTGTTAAGCCCATAAACGTCCATGTGGTGTATATGGGAAATGCTGCATATTCAGTGGACTTTTTAATGCTTACTGCACAATTGTCAAGCTGCTGCCACCAGTTTCTTCTGAAATAGCCCGTCTAATGAGGAAGTCCCCTGTCCGTACAATCAATGCGTTTTGTCATCAATTATTTTGCTAATATTTACACTGAAGACGACTCACGCTCTCTACAGGAAAGTGACCGGTCTGCCAGATGACCGGTAAGGCCCAAGTCTCTTTTGACTTTGTCAGTATTTAACCAAAACCAAGATCTTTGTCTTATCTTAACCAACTGTTGTGAGCCTCATCATAACCATGAAGAATATTAATCAAGCTGCAGTTTTAAGATTTTATATTGAAATTAGTTGTAAATGAATTTCTATTTCTAATAATTTCTAGGACACAGTGTTGAGGAGAATAAAGTTGATGTGAATCTAGTACCAAGCATCAATGTTGATTTCTCTGAACCATGACGGAAAAGTTTTCCTGTCCCTGTGATGCATTACATGTACACAGTGAAAGGGGAACAATATTGTGTTCCTTTATTGCGCCATCAAATGCACAAATAAACTAAAAGGAAACTGGTGCAAAAAACAAATATTAAATACAAAAATATGAACATGTATTTTTCTCTTTTTTAAATGTACAGTGATCTAGTAGCAGAAATATTATATTTTTTATTTTGGAAAGCACTGACAAACAACCAGTTCTTTAATGTAGGAGCAGTTGTGGATGGTCTCTAGCACCAATGTTGAAGCTTCATCAACGTTCAACATGTCCTGGTTTAAAATCAAATACAGCTCTACATTTGAGTTGGTCGAGGTTATTGGAATTCAAACTGAACTGCAAAACACCAACTGATCTGTTTGCGGGTTTAACAGCCGAAAAATAAATTTGCTTTCTTTAATGTGTTCTCCTTTTGAAAAAGGTTTCCTACTGTGCTCCTCTGTGGGAGTGGGATCATTTCTCATATCTGAGCTCCAGCCCATCACTATAACGTGTTCCTCTTATCTCTGCAGGTATTCCTTGGAATGGCAGATGGAGTCCGACAGCGGTTTTGACATTGAAACTGTTGAAGGGACCATTTCCACTAATGAATACCTGGACAGAGAGACGGCTGCCCAGCACAATATCACTGTAGTGGCAACTAAAGTCAGTAAGTATTCCACAGTGCAGAAACAAAGTGTTCACAGCTCAGAGCTGATCATGAAAACTTCTTACAAAGAACCAGAAGGAGTAAACATGGAGTTTTACAGACTGACAGGTAACTAGATCGGACTCTTTTAGTGTTTGTCACCCTGCATCATCATAACTCACATGGGGAAGTCAGATTCTGTGACTGACAGTTTATGGAGCACTTTAATTCTTCTGATGTGTATATCTACTGTAAATTATTTGATTAATATCTTTGATTATTAATTATACTAACATTGTTACTATAATTAGATGTACAAAAGCCCTTTGTGGCCCTTTGTTCCTGGTTTGAGTTCAAATAAATTCTTTCTCGCAGGATCCCCTGAAGGCAAACTGCTCCCATGTGCACACACTCTCAGATAGATGACTGATGTGAACATTAGGAGTCACACACATGAGGCGTCTTATACAGTAATGATTCGGGTCTTTAATGGACTGACAAAGTGACAGGACAAGGAGTCAGATACAAGCACAGCGGCTTTTACAGCTTCCGATCTTTTAACCTGGACAATAGCTGTGCAGACATGTTGTTTGATATACATGGCCTTACACAGATCAATTATACGGTTGCTTCCTGAACAGATTTCCCCATCAGCAGATGTATATCACATCTCTGCTATCATTAAATCCTGTGGTTGGTTGGTTTGCTTTCACACCACAAACAAACTGCACCAGAGTCCACATGGTAGCGGACCGAGACCCACCTTTTCATGCATTCTCGGTTGGATTGTTTGGTGCCCAGCAGGGTTCCATTGACAGCTTAAAAACACAAAAATACAATATTACATTTCACCAAACTTATTAGAAGGTGCACCAACAAACAAGGCCACACTCACACACACACACACACACACACACACACACAGTCAGGTGAGAGAAACAAGTCTTGTCAGCTTTAATCCAGACACAGACAGAAGGCTCACTAACCAGGCAGGCAGAACTAAGAATGCTGTCACAGCTCTTTGTGTTGTAAACTAAAGATCCTCACAGTAGTTTTACTGGATGAGGTTTTAACTTTGACAAACCAACATAAGTGTTCAGCTCCACAGAATTTCACCTCCAAGATTAGTGGCTGTAAAAGCAATAATAGTGATCTCTTAAAAGATGTCAGATCCCCATGGGGTCTGGAAATCTGGAAATCTACTTTGTGTACTAAAGCAACAGTTTGTACATCTATGAACTTTGTTTCGTATGATTTAGGTATGATTTAGGGATATCCATCAACAGAAATGGAATATAATATTCACTATTAATGTATAATAACCTGCAACTTGAATGAATGTGTTTTCCTTAGCTTAGATTAAGCCTTTCATATCAACATGGGGAGCGGGTCCGGTGTGTTGCACTGCTATGTTGCTACGGAAGCCCAGAAGTTACAAACCAAACACTGGCTCTAGAGAGAGCCTTTCAAGTATATTTATGTTTAAGTGGCAGCTTGAATTTGGTGGCGCGAAAGCTCTGCAAATGCTTCTATGAGCAGAGGGATATCTGTAACCTCACTGCCACTGAATCCTCCACACTGGTCCTCTAAGACCCACTCGGAGGGTATTACCTTACAGAGTGAGGTGGGGAATGGAATATTCATCCATAGCTCCACTTAAAAATCATGGAAAAAAGACACTTCAGAACATTACATAGTCATCACATAGTACTTAGTGTAACAATGGGCGTGCTGTCAATGGAGGTGCTCATAGCTAATTCATCATATTTTGAATGGCACCAATTAGCCAAAATAGAGACAGATATAGGCGGAAAATATTGATGAGCTACAGGGGTTCTGCTCTCCTGATGCCTTAAATTTTTTCTGCAGTCATATCACAGGCTTATATGTTGGCGTCAGCACATCTATCAGATTAGCATAATCATTTTTTCATGTACTCAATATTCCAACAAAAGTCAACACTGAGCTCATACAAATAAGAAAAGAGTGCGACAAGAAGCTCTTTACATAGAAAAACTGTGATCGCTGTAAACAGGATTAAAATCAATATTTTACTGGAGATAAGGTGATAAATACTCACTTTGGACGGGTTAAAATGACTATATTACTGGGGAAGAAGTGATACATAATCACTGTGGACTGCATTGAAATTATTTACCAGCCCAGGTGCTGTAATTTTAAAGTTAGCCTACCTCCCATAGATAAATAAATCCAGTCCAAATGAGGCCTAATTCACGCTTTTTCATAACCAAGGTTTTGACAGTCATCAGAGGGATTTAAGAAAAAAATAATTTTATTTTGCAAATATCAACGGCATGCTTGTTAAGAGGGATAAACTCAAAATTGTACCTTCAAAGTTTTGACTTAGAGTCCCGTCACAGTAATATGATTATGAACACAGTCATAATCATCCTGACTCTGTGTGCACCATATGATTTCCCCCTGTAAGCTTCTTGAGGAGGCAAAGGACTGCAGTCACAAATCTTCCAACCTTCCTCATTAGAGCAACAATATAAATCCTCTCACTCAGTCATAGAGCAGAAAACAAGACTGTGTGGTTACATAGTAAGATGATGCACAATGGATTAACTGACAGGTGTTTGAGATTAGGACACACACACACACCCACACACACACACACACACACACACACACACACACACACACACACAC